AACAGTGACTATCCGTCGAGACTGCCGCACACGCGGTGAAGGTGAGGGTGACTTGCTGCTAGCTCGGGCGGCAGGACGACCAAATCTGGCTATTGTGGTGCACGGTGAAGGAGAGAGTTGTTGCCTTGTAACGTCAAGCATGCACGCTGTATCCAGTTATGTTGACGTGATCGAAGGTGAAGACGAAACTTTAGCGGATGCCACGGCCTGGCGGCCTTGCGAGATCAGTTGACAATGAAGGCGTTTCAAGGACATTTCGAGGTCATCATATCATATCTTCCACAGCTTCCATCCTCTTATGCGTTGCCCAATCCACATGTGTTTACTAGGAGCAAAGGCGATCTTGGCCGCTTGGTGTTGATTGCGACGCGCGGTGAACGAGAACACAGGCTGTAAACCATAATCAATGTTAATGACGAATCTATCGAATAGACGAGGGCGTTTCATAATGTAGTCCTTGCTAGAGCAAATTGTGTAGACGATGATACTGTGATGGTGTCGAAAGGAAGGAGAGATGTTCACTCAAGGTTTAGCCTGGGTAGGCGTCTTCCGCTAGTTAGCAACCTGGAAAAGTGCATCATTGACCCACCCCGACACGCGACGTTAGACTCCTCGATACCAACTGGCAGCTCTCCATGCTGAGTGAAATCATGGAAACGAAGTTTTGTGATCTTCTTGATCATGATCCTGGATTGCTACTAATAACTAGTTGCCAAGTGGCAGGATACACTGCACTGCAGAAGAAAGCGCTCCGTCGCCGATGCCAAACTCCCTGAAAATGCTCGTCTGGAAACACGCGAATGTCTAATATCCCATCCCCATCTGCAATACCTCTACTTCTTCTTGAACAAGCCCTTCCCGAGCAGATTCTTTAGCTTGCTCTCCTTCTCCTCATTGCTCATGTTAGCCTTGCGCTTGCCGTCGGCAACCGTCTGGCCCTGAGAAGCCTGCGGCTGAGCCCTCTCTTCCCGTACCGGTTCCTCGACCTTGAGCGCCTGCGCCTTCGCTTGCGATTCCTGCGAGAGCACATGTCGGCTGGCCCTTGCTTCCGCGCTGGCGTTGTCTGCCCATAGGAACGTGACGAGCTCATTGTTGAAGAAACGTAGATCGTGCACTAAGCGCTTATTGTCCTGGGGAATGAGGACGAGTCGACCTGTTGGACCCGTGTTCTTGAGCTGGAAGGGCTCGTTCTTCTTCTCCAGGAAGCCGCGTACGAAGTCGTATAGGCCGACGGCGGTATCGGTCTTTGTGAAGTTCATCTGAATAAGCGCATTATCCGGCATCCGAATGCGGAGTGCGCCGCCCTTCTCGGCTGCAGCGTCAATCTTGGCCTGCCGCTCCTTTTCTTGCTCCTCCAACTCTTTGTCAGACAACAGACGCGTATTGCGTGTCTTGGTCAACAACGCGTTTTGATGTGCTTTTGCGTGTTCAATGGTAGGGAGGTAGTCGTTCTCGTTGAAGGCATTTCGCGCTGCTTGCGGAGTGGACGATGTTGGCGCAGAGAAGATCTGGACGTTGCGAGATTGTTCAGATGGCTGTGATGATGGTTGGGAGGTCGGTGCTGGTGATTGAACGGGTTCTACGGGTGCGGACGACGCTGTTGACGTTGCCGCAGCCAATGCTGCTGCTGGAGAAGTATTCTCTATGCTCTCAGCCGCGTTGTTCTCGGTAGACACCTCGGGCTCTTGTGTAGGTTTAGCGGCCGGTTTGGAGTCGACCTCCATTGGCTCTGGATCGGGCTCTTCGTTACGAACAGTTTCGCCTGCTACGACTTCTGTCGCCTCCGGAGCTGCCTGGGCAGGGTCTGGTATTGAGGCTAATTGATCAGTTGTCGAAGCGTGTGCGCCTTCGGCACCGACAGACGCAGGCTCGCTGGACTTGAAGTATTGCGTTATCTGTGCCATGGCCTCTTCCAGCGGCGTTCCGCTATTCCTGTAGGACAGCTTTAATAATGCTGAGCCGCTATCAAACCCCAGCTGACTGAGAGTCTGTTGTAGCTCAACAAAGTTGGCCTGCTCCTTGTGACCTGGCATGACAGTGATGACAGGCTGCTCGTAGTGCAGCCTGCCAGCACCGGATGCGCCGCTCATCTCGGGGATGCCGCGCTGTGTGAAGTTGTAGTTGGCCCCCTGCCCACTCTCAAAGTGTCGCAAGATCTCCCATAACGAAGTGTTGCTCGCGAACTTGCTTGTGAGGCGTACGTTCTTCTCGGTCGCGGGGAGCTGGAGCGCTACGGATATGACGGTGGGTGATCGCGAGGCCTGGACGAGTTCCAGTCGGGCGCCCTGGGGGAGGTTTGCGAGCCGTATTTGTTGCGATAGGGATATGGGTTTGTTGTTGTATCTGTACACTGGTCAGTAGTGAATTAACGTGTTGTCATGTTGGGGCGTACTTGAGCGTGAACTGGTCCTTGTTGACACCAAACTTCTGGCACGCCTCATCGCGCACCTCTGTCAAGTACTTGGTGGGCGTGGTCGGGATCTTGAAAGTCCTCGCGTACGAGTTGAATACTACGACGTGCGACATCATGCGCGTAGGAGTCGGTAGAGGCCGTGGGCGAGAAGGAAAGCAGCAGGCGCGTTTGCTATCAGAATGGCGCGGGAGTACCAGCAGTTCCAGCTATGGGCTCTTCGGGTGGCGTCGCTCCGTTCGACCAGGAGGATAATGCTAGCGATGTGTAGAAGCTTTGCTTCGGCGAAGCTGAGTAGGAGATTGTTTGGGCCTGCCATAGAGGCGATTAGGTGGATGTTCACAGTGTCGCGGACGGTCAACGCCAGTAGGGGCGCTTACCAATCCTTCGTGGGCCTGTATGGCTTCACAGCGCCGTCACCGCGGTCGGTGGTGATGGGCGTGGTTGGCGGGCGATGGCGAGGACGATGCTCCGACGACGATGGAATAGATATAGACTCGGCGAGTGGTCGTCTTCCTGGGCTCCAGTGATGTTGAGGGAGCAGATGTTTGGGCGGCTGTTCGCGATTGCAGCTTTATCTTTCTGGAAGCTTCGGGGTGGCCTTGCCGCGTGTGCAGGTGTCGGTGCCTGCAGATGGGACCCGGCCTAGGTACACACGTCGGTGACGGAATGCCACCACCCCGCGCTGATGGCGCCCCACTAATTGTCGGGCGCTTCCTTCTGTGCAAGTCGCGCCTCTTCTACAGCCAACATCACCAGCTCCCCAATACACCCACAGCCATGTCCAGGGTCATCGAAATCACGAGGCCTGCAGTGCTGAGCGAGCTGCTCTCCTCTTCGCGCATTGTTGTCATCAATTGTAAGCAGCGACCCGGCATCTACGAGGCAAACTCCGGATGCTAATGTGTGGTACTTGCAGTCTACAATGAAGAAAACACGTCGAGCAAAGCGATTGCGCCCGTATACGACCAACTAGCCGGTCAACTCACTCGGCCCGGACAGATCGCCTTCGCCAAAGTCAGCACAGTACAGCAGGCGCAGATTGCACAGAGCTACAACGTCACCAAGTATGCACATTCCCCAAGCACGGCCACATATTTGAGCGCTTTCTAACGCTTGTTAGTACCCCAACGTTCATCATCTACAAGAACAACCAGCAGATCAAGAAGTACGCCGGCTCGAATCCACAGCAGCTTTCCGAGGCGATCAAGACCCTCGCCACGGAGGCAGAGAACGATGGAAAGGGAAACAGTGGCGCCTCTGGTGCAGGGGGCAGCAGCAGTGGAAGCGGCCCGTGGATAGGCGCCAGTCTACCACGCGGATACACCGACGTGACCGATTCCGTGGACCCACGGGGCCTCGATCTTCTCAACGCGGACAGCGATTTCGGCACCGTCAAGACGCTTTTCGAGACATCACAGCCGAGCTCGCTCAACAAGGGCAAGGGTGCGGCAACTGGCTCAGAAGGCAAGAAGGACTGGGTAGAAAGCGATGTCGACAACCAGCTCATGCTGTACGTACCCTTCATGGCCAACCTGAAGGTTCACACTATCCACATCACGTCTTGCGTATCCGGCGACGAAGACGACGACGAAGCGCCAGTACGGCCAAAGACCATTCACGTCTGGACCAACCGGGCAAACAACCTGGGATTCGAAGAGGCGGAAGACATCCCAGCGACTCAGACGATCGAGCTGAAGCCGTCAGATTGGGATGAGCAGACACAAACGGCCAAGCTTGAACTGCGCTTCGTCAAGTTCCAGAACGTCTACTCATTAGTACTGTTTGTCGCGGACGCCGAGGGCGATAGCGAGAAGACGCGTATCGACCGTATCAGATTCGTGGGCGAAACTGGCGAGAAGCGCGAGATTGGCAAACTGGAGAAGATTGGTCACGACGACTAAACGACAATGCTGTCATAGTTGTGGCTAGCAGGGTTATATGGAGTCATCTTGGAGCATTTACTGGTTTTGACAGAATTACGATTAATGCATGATGTTCAATTCCCGCAAACGATCTGAAATACTCAATCATTGCTACTGTCTGATCGAGACATCAGAGTGAGTTGCATGTGCTGTATCGCATCGCAAGTCGTCTGGAAGTGTGACAAAAGACATCATATAAATTGTTGGAATGTCCACGCCTCTGCTCGAGGCCTCACCCACACAAGGAAGTGTGAAGCCTGAGCAGTCTCGTCTCCGAGCAAGGCGCGTTTCAATATAAGCATTTCTCGGCCCTTACTCTGCCATTGATAAGGGCAATAGAGTAGGAATTTGACATCCATGCTAGGTAGGCATCAACGCATCAGCACCTCACGCGCATGGGTGCACTGGGACAGGTTGGTTTGGCGTGAACCAATCGTCACATTTCATGATTTTGAGTGACACATGCTAGGTACGTTCAGGAACCATCATTGTCCATTTGCCATACTCCGATGAATCGTGTCATACTTTTTGTGGTATGTGGTGACGTTCCGAGATCGTATCGAGCCGCCTGTTGTGAAAAGAGACCGAACACCCAGGAAGAAATCGGAAAGTAAGTCGGTCGTTCGTCCGCCGTGTTGCTTCATCCACCGCGTTTCGTGAACCGTTTAGTGACCAGCGCGCTTGGACTCAGCGATGACGCGGGTCATCTCGTCGACCTTTCTCTTTGAGCGACCGAAGGTACCGAGCTGTGATGTGTTAGTTGATGTTCGTACTTGGATGTGCCTGAGCGGGTAGGAGGTCGGTCGTGGTGTGCTAGGGTGGGAGACGTACCCTCTTCTTCGCTAGGCGGCGGGCACGCTTGTCCTTGGAGTTTCGGAGCAATTCGATGATGCGCTTCTCGTATGGGGCAAGACTGTAGACACGTCAAGTTAGCGGGCTGTTCGGCGAACAATTGCGCAGTCCCTCTGCAGAAAAGTTCGGATTGGAACGTACCCGGCAACCTCCTTGGTGATCTCACGGACGAAGGCAGTGCGCTTCGACAGGAAACCCTTCCTCCTCGAGATCCTGGGAGCGGGGGTCCTGGGGGTGACCTCTGTAGACCGTGTTAGCCTCCATCCACGAATTTTCTCATCTGTAGCAATCGGTGCGTATCGAGAGCGGCGAGCGGGGAGACGTACTGTGGCCGGCGTTAAGGCCAACGATGAGGCCAGACTTCTGCTTGACTTCTTTCGGCATCGTGACGGTCGTGATGTTGTCGATAGATGGGTTCAGAGTCGCAAATCTGAGAGGGTAATTTTGGCTCGGCTGTGCGGTGGTGCCAAGATGGCGCTAGCTGTAAGCAGGCACGTGCTCTCCCCGATGTTCTTTTGGACGGCAGTCACGAACACCAACGTTCTCAATCTCAAAGCGCTCTGTTTCAGGAACATTGACATAAGTATTTTTTGGGATTTTGCTTTTGGAGTACTGTCGCAATCCCCGAGACGGGATCAGCCTTACGGGCACAGAAATGGAACCCCGCCACCTCACACCCCGGAATCGACTGAACCTCATCAATGCCGATTGTTGAAGTTCGCAACCCCAAACGCCCAAGCGGAAGACATGACGACTATAAATCGGCAAAACTCCACACACGACCATCCAGTCGATGTTCCCATGAAAATAGCAAATCCGAGATCATGGCCATGGTAACGAACGCCGTTCATACCTAGTCCGACGCCCCACCTCCGCTCTCCGCAAACATGCCAGATACTCTCAAGGCTCCTCAACCTTGACTTTGCAACCGCCGACATACCAAACCCTTTCCTTCAACTTGCTCCCAACAATGCCAGTGGCGTATAGTGATACACAGCCTGCTGCATCAAACCCCCAACCCAGCTCCCCATGCCTTACGGAATGAAGTTCGACAAATTCGGGATTCTCTAGGTCGCTTTGAGTCTTAAGCTCCACGAAGGTTCTCTTCTCCAACGGCCAGCCCTTGCGATTGGCAAAGATCTCTAACAGTTTGATATTGGCCATGCTGAGGTCGAGGATGTTAGACGCCAGTTCCGTGGTTTTGAAGATGAAGGACTCGGAGCGAATGCGCTCGCCTTCTATGATACTGTAGGTGTCGCGATATGTGGGTATAATGCCGGCTTGGAGAGCGAACATCTGTGCATAACATGCAGCTTGATAAGCCTTCTGGAGTTTCTCCCGCAGCGCGCTGGGGAACTTGTGTAGTTTGGGGTTCACAGTGACCGAGATGTGATACAATGCGTCTTCTTCCTTCTGAGCCGGAGTTCTGACGACCGCTACGAAAGGCTTCTTTTCGGGCCTTGCTTCGTACTCTTCGAGGTCAATGACGTCTCCTTTCCGCTTCGGAGTGGTCTTGGGAGCTGGAGTTGCCCTTGGTGTAGGTGGGGGTTTGGAAGCTGGTATATCGTTAGTTTGGAAGAGCACATTGATATCATCCAAATCTCTGGCTCACTCTGCATCTCGTTGATCACGTAGGCTGTATGACAGTATTGATGTCTTTTGGACGGGAGGAGGCTTGGTGAGAAGAAAATAAGCCTTCAGATGGTCCAGATGAGTAGAAGAGATGAGGAAGAAGAAAGCTTATGGAAGGTGAGAGCGATCAACAGTTAAAGAAAGACTCAAGGGTCCAGCTGGTAAGAGACGCGTGTATATTGATATACATATACTGCAGTCTCGCGGTAAAGGTAGTCTACAACTTCGCTTTCGCCTTGCTATCCTCCTCCTCCTGCGCCTTCACCTTGAGCATCCGCCTGAGGATCTTTCCGCTTACAGACTTCGGAATCTCATCAACCCATCTAACTCCGCCACGGAGTCTCTTGTGGTGCGCAACCTTAGCGCTCAACCAGTCGATGATCTCCTTCGCGTCTTCGTCCGTCTTACCCAGTCCATCTTTGGGTACGACGTAGGCACGCGGTAGTTCCGAGGCATCGTCTTTCGAGTAGACTCCAATCACCGCTACATCGTTGATCTTCGGGTGCGAGACCAGAATGCCCTCTAGTTCAGCAGGTGGCACCTGGAATCCCTTGTACTTGATGAGCTCCTTCACGCGGTCGGTAATGAAGAAGTTTCCGTCCTTGTCTTGGTATCCAACATCGCCTGTCTTGAAGTGCCCGTCTGCTGTCTTTGCATGCGCGGTTCCCTCAGGGTTATTAAGGTAGCCCTTGAAGACGTTTGGGCCCTTGATCCATAGTTCGCCAACCTCACCGACTGCCATCTCCTTTTCCTCTGGAGACATGTACTTTGCTGTTTGGTAGGGAAGAAGCTTGCCCACAGATCCAATGGTCTTGTCCCAGTCCTCCCAGGGTTGGGTGTGCGTTGTCGGGCTGGTTTCCGAAAGACCGTATCCTTGTTTGACAGGGATCTGCAGTCTGCTGTGAACTGCCTCTACAAGCTCTCTTGTCAAAGGGGCCGCGCCGGAGTTCATCATCCGGATCGAGCTCAAATCGTAGTTCGATACAAGAGGGTGTTTGCTTAAGAGCAGAACGATCGGTGGGACCACATACGCGAATGTGATCTTGAGCTCTTGGATGAACTTGCAGAAGTCCTCTAGGTCAAACTTCGGCATTACAACAAGTTGGAGACCAGAGTACAAGCTTTGATGGATTAGACACGTGAGACCTAGTCGAAGTCAGTTGAGAACCACCTAGATGAGCGCATGCAGGAACTTACCGTAAATATGGAAGAAGGGCAGGAAAGCCAGCAGTTTGTCGCCTTCGCCAGTTGGTCCTCCTGTGGGCTGCAGTTTACCAGCCTCCGCGGCTTTGATCATCATCGTGTTGGCGACAATGTTGCGGTGGGTCAACATCACACCCTTGGGATGACCTGTGGTTCCGCTGGAGTAGACCAAGAATGCAAGGTCCTCCGATGGATTGCTAGCCTTTGTTCTCCGCCACTTGGAAGATCCGGCTGTGTTGATGATACTGGTGAAGTGCTTGACTTGGTACGAAGGATCCTTCTGGTCGCCCATCACGATCACCCGGTCAAGAGGAATGCCAACCTTCTTTGCCGCTTCTTGCGCATTCTTGATGAAAGGTAGCTGTGTCACCAGGCCCTTTGCACCAGAGTCTTTAAGTTGGAATGCAAGTTCATCGACCGTGTAGTTTGGGTTGGCTGGAGACAGGATACCGCCTGCCCAGTGGCAACCCCATGTTATCGCTGGTGTGTCGATGCAGTTGGGTGTGTACACAGCGAGAACATCGCCTTTTTGCCAGTCCCAGAGTGCCTTTAGCCCTTTGCCAAAGTTGATAGCGGCATCTTTGACCTGGGCGTATGTGTAGGACCGCTTAGTGTAGGGATCAAAGTAGATTACTATTTCCCGTTTTAGTGATTACTTATGTTGACAAAACATGAGAACATACCTTTGTCATCTGCGTACGGCCTGTCATTCCTTTCGAAGAGAAACGCCCACTACGATCAAAGACAAACGTCAGTATTAGTTCCACAAAAGGGCTTATCTCCGTATGTCAAACTTACCAGATCAACGTCTGGGATCGGCAGGCTAGGGTACTGGCTTTCGGACGGCATTTTAGTGGTTGAAGATCGGTGTCGTGTTGATGATCAGTACCGAGCCAAGGAATCTTATGGAGGGAGTAGAGTGAAAGTAGAAGGATGCCAGAATGAGAAGACGGACATAGCCCGTCGCGTTCTAACGGACCTGGGAATACCGAGGGCAGACGCAGCGCATTGAGACGGCTGGCCATGATTAGTCGACCGGGGTAAACCCCACAACTCCGGGCAACCATGACCGAGGTTCTTTCCGCTTTTGGCGTTAGCGGCGCGATAGCTGCACATGGCCTCCCGAGGTCAACGGTATTGCGACAACCTCGAACATCGATAGCCTGACCATATAGACCTATTAGTTCTCCAAACACACGAAAGTTCCACACTATTAGGTTATCAAGATGCCGAGTTGGGAAGAAGCTACTGCAGTACAGAAACTGTCCTCCAACACGTACTCATGTACACTACACGATGATTGGAGCATCGGAAGCGGTATTTTAGACCCCAGCAGAGATAACATCATCCGCTTTTACTAACGGCAACAGTTCCTAATGGTGGCTACGTTACAGGATGGTAAGGTTCATCGCATTCTGCTTCACACCCTTGACTAACCACATCTCGACTTCTTAGCATACTGGAGGTAGTCAAAACACATTTCAGCACAACTTTGGCGAAGCAGAACCAGCCACACACCATAGCTCTCCACATTGAGTTCCTGAGACGGACCCAAGCCGGGCCCGCAACATACAAAGTCGACGATGTCAAACTTGGTCGCCAAACGTCTATCGTACATGTGACCATGGAGCAAGACGGCCGACAGGAAGTCGTCGCGTACGTCACAAACTCCAACATGGATGCGGAAAAGGGCTTCACCCAAGATGTCGGATACAAGCTTTCACCGCCCGTCCCGTCAGTCGACCTGACAAAGCTGGAAAATGATGAAGATACAAACTGGAGGCTCCAACCAGAATTGCCGCACGCCAACTTCCGAAAAGCGACGAAGAGGGTGAAGTTTTATTTCCCTCGGGAAGGACGAAGCCTAAAGCATCTCGCTGATGAGTGGATCTGCTTCTCTGATGGGACAAACTTCACGGATTCCTCGGTCGGCTTTGTCGCAGACATGTTCCCGCTGATGGTTGAGTCAATCAAGGGCGAAGGAGAGGGACCCTTTTGGTATCCAACCCTCCTACTGAATCTGGACATCAAGAAAGCGCTGCCGCCGCAGGGGGTCAAGTGGCTGCAGGTTAGGGCAGGTATGAAGAAGGTGGCGAACGGTAGGATGGACTTGGAAGTGTGGGTGCACGATGCTGACGGCGATCTGGTGGCTTTGAGCCATCATGTAGCATTTGTGTTGGATGCTGCTAGGAACACAGCCGCAAGGAAAACGGGCAATGCGAAGATCTAGGCCTTGGATTGTTTCGTACATAATCACCGGCATTTCTATACGTCGCACTTTTCGAAAAAGCCAGCGCGTGTGAACACTGTCTTGCTGAATTCCTCCGCTGCATTACCTCGGTTCATTTTGTTGCGGTGTGACGTTGCTTATTCGTCAATATGATCCCGGCATGTGTAGTTCCACTTCCACAGCTACGCGGAACAGTATGGACTTCATCAGGTACCGAGAGTTGCTGACATCGACACGGCATTGGGCGCTCCTTGGAAAATTGGTTTTGTTATTTCTCGATCATCTGGGGGCCTCATTGCGCTCGACTGGCCGCAACAGTGAGGGTTTCAAAAATCTACAGGATGCTATCGTGCATCGCTATCTGCCAAACGCCAATGATGCCATTCATCAGATGCCCAATGCCCCCTGGCTGTATATTGCCATGCTTTTTTGTGTCTGCTCGATTGGTCCGGAGTCGCTTATTTGCCCTTGGGGTTGTTGTATTGTATCTCGTTGAATTTGCTCGGCCAGACAGGCTATCGCACGTTAGCACAGTCCTTGGGCATCGAAATCAGCGTGCCACATACCTCACTCTGCTGGTCGCTGATGTTCTTCTTGAAGTGCTCCGAGTCTGGGCCCTTGCTCGGGCCGTCGTGCCTTCCTTCGTTTGCGGACGCAGAGCCTACAAGCTTGATGTCAGCAAACTCCGTTCTATGTACTTCCAGGGTTTTAAGTCTGGGGAGCTCATTATACCCGTACCGCGCTGGGTTCCTCCAGCAGGTGTGTGCGTAGGGTGGCCTCCACCAGCTGAGAAGCGATCCTCAATGTTCTGGACGCCCTGTGTCTTGTACGGGTTGGGGAACCAGTATTGGCGCATGAAGAGGTAGTAGCCGAAGCCGACGGCGCCGCCAGCCATGAAAATTTTAGGAACAGAGAGAGGCGACATGATTGCTGTTGGTCCTGCTCTCTCCCTTCAATTGACGAGGTGGGAGTGGGAGGAGGTGAGGGTGGAGGTTTAGAGCGACAGAGATGAAGTGGAAGGTGCTGTGTGTTGTGCTGGGTGGTGTGACGCACGAAGTAAGGACAGTTAATGGAAACCTTGGTATGTGGAGAAGAAGCAAGTAGTGCAGCGAGCCTAGAGATCTAGGCGTTGTTTTCCCTCCAAAGTCAGGTACCCAATAGCATACGGCGGAGAAGCGTCACTTTGTCGTCGCGATGATCGCGTCATGGTCTTGTGCTTTAGGCAAAGCTCCCGCGGTCGTCGCACAAACCAAAGATCCACTCCGCCAGGCACGATGCAGCTAGCGCGCGTGAGGCTGAAGCTCATGCTGACGTAACGCAACGGCGGCTGAAGAGTGGCTTGTAAATTAGCTAGCGTGTTTGGTGCCATCGCCTTGGGGAAGTGGACACGCTATCGCGACATCTGCAACCCCTTGCGCCAACACGACCGGAGATAGCTGTGAAGAGAGGGTCCAATTGGGGGTGTCTTTTACATCGAGGAGCTTCATGATCATACGGCAGACTACAGGCTGGGACACAGCAACCGCCACGGAACCGAGCGCGCATTCGAGAAATGGACGGTGATCCCGCCGTCGAGCCAGAAATCGATGGCTTCAGTCGCGTCCTGCCCCTGCCGTATCGCGTCGCTCTTATAATAGTCCTGGGTATGCAAACGCTCACGCCGTCTGCTCTCAACCACCTTACTAACTGCCGCACAGGCATCTGGGCCTGGGGTCTAAACCTCCACTACCTCACCCTCATAAAGATAGACGTCCCGAGTCTGATCCGCTACCCGGGCCGTACCTCACCCCGCCATATCCCGCACCACCTCTCCTGCTACCGCATCGCAACCTTCCTCTCCATCCCGCTCGCACTCTCGCTGCTCCTATTCTGGACCCTTACGCACGGCAGCCCTGCAGACATTGCCGCTTGGGAAATTCTGCCAAACCTATACCTCTTGGTACTAGTTATTGGCTTTGTCATACCGCTGCCATTTGTTAGTCGCAATGGACGGACTCGTACACTGGCGACGCTGAAGCGCATATCGATCGGCGGCATCGCAGAAGCACAAGACGGAAAGTTTGGAGACATTCTGCTCGCCGATGCGTTGACGAGTTATGCGAAGGTGCTGGGCGATCTATTTGTCTCACTGTGCATGTTCTTCTCGTCGTCGCACAGCTCAACAGGGCCCCCGAACAGGAGTTGCGGCGGCGTGTTTTGGGTTCCCTTCATCATTGCCATACCCTCGATGATTCGATTGCGGCAGTGTATCACGGAATACTACCGTGTTCAGAAGGCGAACAAGCAAACCGGGCAGATCAGCCCAGCGACAGGATGGGGTGGCCAGCATCTGGCCAACGCACTGAAATACTCGACCGCATTTCCTGTCATCATACTGAGTGCTCTGCAACGCTCGCCTGATCCTTCACGTTTTGGTGTTTCGGAAGCGACGTTGTTCCGTATGTGGCTTGTCGCAGTGGTGGTAAACTCTGGCTACTCTTTCTACTGGGACGTAGCCAAGGATTGGGATCTTACCCTCTTCTCCAATGCCCGTACTCGGGATAGCCCAGAATACCCACGTGGTCTAAGACGGCATCGCTGGTTCCATGCCAAAGAATTCTACTATGCAGCGATTGCAGTGGACGCAATGCTGAGGTGCACTTGGAGTCTGAAACTCAGTGTGCATCTGGATCATTTCAACGATTTAGAAGGAGGCATCTTTACAATGGAAGTTCTCGAGGTGTTGCGGAGATGGATATGGATCTTCTTCCGCGTAGAGACAGAGTGGGTGAGGAATCACAGGGGCCCGGCGCCTGATGACATATTACTAGGTGATGTTGGGGTTGGGAATAAATATGACGATAGCGATTAGGCTTCGTTATTCATCAAAGATGTAGATCGACTGCAAGCATGGAATGCACCTCTAACTTCTTTTCAAAACTTCATGGATCTCCGCGATTAGCTCAATATGTGCGCTGCGTTGCGATGCATGTATAGCTCGCCCTCGGGCTATAGGTAAGGAAGGAGCGACATAAGTCTCATCGGGTGCCATGATTTCTTCCCATCCACCTCACTTCTTTGGGAATCCAATGCACGATGATGTAGGCAGCAGCCAAAGCGATTTGCGAGGTACGCGGCTGTGGACATTGATGACCTTTTGAGGCTTTTCATTAATAAGTTCAGACTACTTGATGATAGGCCAGACCTCGGAATGCAACATCTACCCCCTACATGACTGGCTGGCAATCGTCCTCCATGCTTACATCGCGCTAATGGACGCAGCACGAAATGCATTCCTTCTTGGGACTAGTACGGCAGTCAGCTCCCAGTCATCTATATGCTGCCGGCAAGCCTATACACCACACAACCACTTTCATCTGCTCGGTAAAGCGAGACTTGTCAATTAGATTGAACCTAGACTTTCTTTCTTTTAGTATCAATTGAGGCTCAACAGGCCCACAGATTGAAAAACCATTCACGCTGCAGAGAATCTGATGGTGTTCCGCGGCAAACCATCCAAGTTTTGCGAAAGATGTAGGGAGAGAAGACTACGAGTATGCCTCGGATCCAAAGTTGGGATTCCTTACTGACACATCCAGTGTGATCTGCAACGGCCAAGTTGCAACTCTTGCATTCGAGTGGGGGCAGCATGCACCGGCTATCGCGACACGATAAACATTCGGATCAGCGATGAGACCGACTTTGTACGGACGAAGGCTCTAGCAAAGACAGGGTCCCCACTGCAGCAACGATGTGTTGGCGAACCCAAAGTCAAGCTTAAGGTTCGACATCTACCCCAAGACCTTGTGGCCCTAGGTCGAGACATGTTCTTCACGTACTACGTCTCCGATTTCAGTCGGACATGGGACTTCCTATACAACTATCTAGACCCAAGATCCGCGCCCAAATATCTTACTTTGAGCATCGAAGCGGTCAGTGTCGCCTTCTTGTCCCATCAGGTTTCTTCTGAGACTGCAAGAGATCTAGTACGCAGGAAGTACTGTCAAGCACTACGGGAGATCAACATCGCCCTGCAAGATCCCACGACAGCAAAAGCGGCATCCACTTTCGAAGGCGCGTTGTTGCTGGATCTCTTTGAGAAGATCATGAAGTCAGCCTTGGAGATCAACACATCAGGACACGCCCATATCGAGGGCGCTCTCACATTGGTCAAACTGCGAGGTGTAGATTCTTTCAAGGAAGGCACTGAGCTACGGGCATTGATGGGACTTTCCCTGAACGCGACGATATGCTCATTGAGTACCGGGCGAGTGGTGGATCCTTCCATACGACAAATACGAGTACACGCAGCACAATTCGTCAATACTGACTATCCGAAGTGGAAGCTCAGCGGATTGATGCTTGACATAACCGATCTAGCCGCAGAGATGCGCAAGGGGTTTATGACGGCGGAAGAAAGGACAACGAAGAGCGAGTACTTTGATCGAAAGCTCGAGATTGTTGCACTCGAAGCGAGCCCGGCTTGGACGTATGAACGCAACAGCTTATTCGATCCTGATGGAGCAAGACTGGTACCCGCAGGATTCCCAAGGGTATATGACATCTACCCCGATCGCATGATCACCCAGATGTGGAACGTGCTTCGCATAGCCCGAATACTTCTCTGCGAGGAGATCATCCAGTCCTGTTCCGAGAGCTGTGATCCTGGAGTTGCCGCTCAGTGTAATCGAGCAAATACTGCCATCTTGGCCCTCGTCCAGGAGATCGTCGCATCGGTTCCCCAGATGACGGACTGCGACCTAGTCGCAAAGGATAAGCTGCCTAGTGGAAGCATGGGTAAACAACATTCACACAGCATACCGCATATCCTCGATGTCTACATACTGATATTCAGCCTATACGTTGTTGCTTGGTCAAAAAGCTGTCCACAGTCTGCAGTCGATTGGAGTCTGAAGCACCTGCAGCACATTGCCGATCACTTTGCTATTAAAGAGGCTGCCGTCATTCTGAATATTTTGAGAAAGCAAAAGAGGGAGGAGCGTATTGATCCATGGTATGTA